CCTGACTCGGCCTAGTGACAGAATTATGCAATGTTTTACCTATAAAAAGAGATACTATGTAATGTGCACAACCTTTACTTTTTCATAATGGATACATTAATAAATGAGTGTTTTATGTGCTGTGAATGGGGCAAATGGCCTCACCACTGAATTAACTTACTTAATACTTTTTTTTGGAATACTTGATGTCGCCCAGGCTCACCCACACCCCCTTGTAATCTGAGCCTGGGGCCCATGGTGTGAAGCATGATATTGGGTGGCTATACAGTTTGTCAATGTTTATACTGACGACACCATTACGCAGCAGGACGAGGCAGCCTGCACATTCGACCGCTCCACTGACCCCAATAAATAAACTCATCTATCAAGTTGAATGCGCGTGATAAAATATGTGGCTCTAATGTCATTGTTGTTCGATTACTACGCAGTGCATGCGTTCGACTTAGTCTTCGCTAGGGCTGCCTACAGCGCTTATTGATGCAAACATAAAATACTAGTCGTTAAGTGCTGCCTAAATCAGATTGAAACTAGGATCAATTACACATAATATTATGTAGACCACATTCAACTATTAGGACATGGAATTGCACTCTTTTTCTGCTCCTCAAATACAGGAGCAACTATACAGCAAATCGCTTGGCAGATGCTTTAACTCGCTTGGCAGATTGCGATAAATGCGTCCCTTTTAAGCATGAAAGTGACTGGAAAAACCTAGTTGAATTGTGATCGATCTTGGGAAATGTCCCGTAACGAGTTTTGCAGGAACGGAATCGGTCGTGTTTTGTTGCAACTCCTGCTCTGAGGAAGCTTTGTTTTTGTGACAAACAGCTCTTAGAAATCTGGACGTAACCTCTTTCTGTCATTTATGAACCTAGCAGTGAAAGAATAAGGGAGACATCGTGGTGAAACCAGGCGCTTGTGGAAATACTGAAATTGAAAGAACCGACTTTTTTCTACTTAGGCAATTTGTATCGTTTTTTTGTGTGGTTTGTTTTGTTTTGGGCTCAGCACCTTTTGATATTCATTTAAAAACGCATTATTTCTGCACGTATTTTACTATTATAAAAAAGCGTTGATCAAAGGCACAAAAATGTAAATCAAACAGTTTCCAAGTACACTACAGCTTTGAAAGTCTCCAAACATTGGAGGCCATTTTCTCGCTAATTTTACCTCTGAAACCAGGCCCCCTCCATTGATGTCAATCACACATATCTCTATTTCTATTTTAACATAGATTCGTATTTTAAAAAAACCAAAAGCATGAAAAATAAACAGCCGTTAAGACGATCCCAATGAATTCATATGCTCCCCGAAAACCGATGAACGTCTGATTCCACCGTGTCGGGACACATACTATAGCGTTGAAAGATCGTGGAAACAAATCAATTAATTGAGTGGGTGTTTTCGGACAGCGCCACTGGCGGGTCTTACTTTTTTTCGTTCCCCTTATTGTCTCTGCTCGTCTGTCCTACTTTTTCACTGCACTCAATGAACATTATTATGTCGGTATGTTTCTCTTTATCTAATCTAAATAAACAAATCAATTGAAGGAAACAAAACATTTCAAAATAGACTTATAAACTGCTGACATGGTACTGGAATATGAAGTACTTCTCTAACTCTTTTATATCTAATGCAGGGAATGACTGAAGTAAATGAAACGCTGTAACAGATACACAAAGGCTCATGAAACGATATAAACTTTTGAGGAATTCTCTAACTTTCTAAAGACCATTTGTTGACAAAACTTCAGATCAAGAAGCAAGTTTAAAATACAGAGATCCTGGCAGCAACCCC